AAATCAAAAACAATCAACAGTATGCTTGCACAAAGCAGTCTTATAGTTCTCTTTCTGTGTAATTATATGCTTTTAAGTCAGTGTTTCTCAGCCTGGGGGTCAGGACCTGGGGGCGGGGTAGTGAAGGGGTTTCAGTGGGGTCACCAAAGACCATCAGAAAACATATTTCTGATGGTCTTGGGAGCCCCTTTGGCAGAGAAGGCTGAAGATCTCTCCACCTGTTCTTCTCTTCCTTTTTGGAAACTGATGGCAAATCCTTCCACCAAAAGCCCTCATCCACTGTGATCAGCCAGCCTCTCAGCCAAAGGGAGGGCTGTTTCTGGGACTCCAAGTGGGGAGGGGAGAGCAGGTGTGCTCAACGCATGGCAATGTGGTACACGGGTGAGGGGGAGTGCGCAAGGTTGGAGAGAGGCTCGCGCCAGCAAGTCCGTTCAAGGCATGAGGTTTCTGTGTGGGAAGGTTGGCCCAATTCTACCATTGGTGGGGTTCATAATGCTCTTTGATTGTAGGTGAACTAAAAATTCCAGCAACCACAACTCCCAAATGTCAAGATCTATTTTCCCCAAACTCCAACTTTGGACCACATCTGTCATCAGCTGGGTTCAGTGCCCCGTTTCCCCTCCCAAATGTGTTCACATTTGGGCACATTGAGTATTTGTGCCAAGTTTGGTCCAGATCCATCATTGTTTGAGTTCACAGTGCTCTCTGGATGTAGGTGAACTACAACTCAGAAACTCAAGGTCAATGTTTGGTGTTATGACCTCCAGTATACTGACAGTTGTATACCCTAGTAAGTTAGTGTGAAGATAATTGGGGGTCCCACATCACAACTGTTTTTTTACCACCTGAAGTTTACCAACACTGCTGGGGAAATGGCAGTACTATTACATATTCAGTGTAATCAACCAATAGGTTGGGTATCCGGCGATGCCTAAGTTATTTGAAAAAGTTATTTTGGGGGGATTTTATAAATGGTCCCACTAAGAAAATGCATAAAGCTGTGAGTGAACTACAACTCACACCATGCCAAGTTAACACACTCAAACTCCATCAGTACTTAAAGTTGGGCATGTTGGGCATGTGTGGCAAGTTTGTTCCAGATGTGTCTTCAGGGTTCAGTCTGCCCTCTGGCTGCAGGATAAACTACAACTCCCACCATCATGAGTCAGTCCTCTTAAACCCCTCCAGTTTGTTCAGTTAATCATGGGGGTTCTTTGTGCCAAGTTTGGTACTGGTCCATTGTTGGTGGGAGTCAGTTTCTCTGAATGCAGGTGAACTAAAACTCCCAGAAATCAAAGTCAATCCCTCCCAAATCCCTCCAGTATTCAAATTTAGTCATATCAGATGTGCATGTCAAGTTTGGTCCAGATCCATTGTTGTTTGGGTTCACATTGCTAATACAGATGAGCTACAGTTCTCCCAAATCAAGGTAAATTCCCTGTCCTCCCAAAGCCCTCCAGTATTTTCTGTTGATCATGGAGATTCTATGTGCCAAGTTTGGTCCAGGCCCATTGTCGGGTGATGCAGGGTGAACTACAACTTCCATCTTGCTGAGTCAGTTCCCCAAACCCCTCCAGTAAGTTCAGTAACTGATCAATTCTGCTCTGTTTGCTGTGCACCATAGAAAAGAGTAGGAAACGGTTATGGGAGAGACAGTGGGTGGGAGCATGCAAATTCCACACCAATGCAGAGAGTAAGAAAAACAGATGTCTGTGGTGGAAGAAACACATAAAATCTAGGATTAAACTGTCATCGTATGAAATCATTAAGTTGTATTTGTGAAGGACATTGGCAGGAGTTGGCAGATCTTGTATATATTCACAACACACTCTATAGCCTACAATGTAATTGGAGGGAGGGCCTTTGGTAGCTCCTCAGTGGTGGTGGTGAGGGGGGGTCATAGTTGTTTATGGAAGTGGGAGCCCCAGCCACATACATACATACATACATACGTTCACTTTTATTATGGATGGACATAGAAGATTTAATCGATGTAAACATTTGCTAAGACACCATTTCTAGATCCTAGTAAAACATTGGGAGCAACTTCCTATGACTCTAATAAGAAATAAATTTCACATTTTCCTGCAACAAGAACAAACTTAGCCTTTATATTTCACAAAATTTGAAAAGTCAGACCAAAATTGCACTCAGTATTTCAAATGTACTCAATAGTTCAATTGATTCACGCATGGACTCCAGTGACTGATGCTATCTGAAGATGTAGCTATAGATGGACTCATTCTATATTTAAAGCATTTATAGAGTAAAAGTAGTGTTTGGTTCCACACACAAACCCTTTCCCTTGCTTGTTGTTGTTTATTCGTACAGTCGTTTCTGACTCTTTTTGACCTCATGGAGCAGCCAACACCAGAGCTCCGTCAGCCACCACCCCCAACTCCCTTCAAGGTCAAGCCAGTGACTTCAAGGATAACATCCATCCATCTTGCCTTTGGATGGCCTTGCTTATCTATTGCTAATGCCTTTCTGCCAGCACCATTATTTCTCATCTAGACTGATAATATCATCTCTTACTTTGGACTTGTTCAATCTCCCAGTTCCCATAACCTCATGAAAGTTGTAAGCAACCTGATGTCTTTCAGATATTTTGGACTACAATTCCCAAAAGACTTACACACCATGGCCAGCAATCAGGAATAATCAGAGTAATTCCCACAATGTTTGAAGAGCACAAGGCCACGTTGTTGTTGTGTGCCTTCAAGTCATTTTCAACATATGACAAACCTTTCTGAGGCTAGGACTGTGACTTTCTCAAAGTCATCCAGTGGATTTTCATGGGATTCCAAGCTGTTCTCCAGAGGTACAGTCCAGTTCTCAAACCACCTACCATGCTTATGCCACAAGCTCATTTACTCCTGCCTTAATGCAATACAGTCTAAGCATGTGTAAATGAAAATGGTGTACATTATATCTCATTATCTATCATCATTATGTTGCTTTCCTTCCCCTCTGATAAACTTTAGACCTTCAGAATCTAATGGCAAAGAATCCTTTTGCATTCTAAACATACTGGTGGCACAAAGAAGTAAAAAATGACTATATCCCAGCTTTATTGATCACATTACTAAGGGCCTCTGTTTGTCTTAGAATACCCTATACTCATGCAAAAGTCTAGAAATTCTAGTTAGAAAAAAATCAATCCACAAAACCTTGGTCAACTAGATCATGGTCAATGTGAGTACTATACCTGAACTCTTATCAAAAAAGGAACCATCTCCCTTTCTGAGTAGAGTAGCATAAGACAAGAGCTTATTTCGTCCACTGACCCCCTGTACTTTCTTTGCCACTTCTGGCCTTTTTGAGTATTTGTGGAAGAAAATACTATCTGGCCCCTAGGACAGCACTGGTGCTTTTCCCTCTCCGCAGAATGATCCATGGGTCATGTCAAGTATTTGAGCAAATACAAGTTAGCAGAATCCATAATTTTGCCACCCAAACCTTCCCTTGAGTAATTCATAAATGTGTATGGTAATAGAATAAATGATCACTTTTGAGGAAATGCAATTTATTGATGTGAAAAACTAAAGAGGAGCACAGACTAAGGGAACAACACCATAGAGTTTCATACTACAATGGTTCCACCTGATGCAATCCTGGGATTTATGGGTTGGATGGGTACATATTTTATTTAGCAGACAATGCAGATCTATTCCTCCAAACTCCACCAGGAAAATTCGCTGGCAAACTTTTAGGATCCCACAGAGTCTTGACATATTCTTTCAGTCTCCTGTTTTGTAAACACTTCTTTACTTTAGTTGAAATGCAGTAGACTGATTTAGGGACCATTATACTGGATTGCCATTTGTTTTGTCTTGCCTTCTACATTAATCCAAACAATAAGGGCCTTTAAAACATCCATAAATAACCTACTGCTGCTGCTATTGGCACCTAGAAGCCAACCGTAGCAATGTTAAGCAACAACAAATTTCATAGTTCAAGAGGCACAGTTAAGAAAAAGGTTGCTCAAAAAATCACTCATTTACCACAGAGATCCTTAAAAATGGCATGAAATCAGTCGAGTAACTATAGAAACCAATTTCTTCAGCTCCGTATCACACATCTCACACCTCAATTGTCTTTATTATTGTGTGCTGTCAGATCCTTAATCAGAAATGTGAACAGGCTTGATTTATTCAGCAGGGAAAAGAATCTGTAGGTCAAGTAAAAAAATTCTCACTCACAGTCTTCAACCTTAGGTATTTTCATTTAATTCTGTTCCTAGTAGCTCTGGGGGCAACTCCAGTGAGATCCAATATTAAGGCTCAATTAAAATAAGCTCCAATTAGTGGAGCTTTTTTCTCTCCGGCTAGAAAAGTCAGGAAATGGATATTGGGAAATGTAAAAAGTCAGCTACTGAGAGGAGGCTGTAGCAGACATAAATGAACTTATTTGTTGATTTCTGCAGTTGCTATGCAGAGGCCTCTGGGAGTGAAAGCTTAACCAGTCTAAGCTATAAACTAAAACCCCTGCAGCTAAACATGAACTGTGTGAAACAAGGGCTCCATTCCAGAACAGAAAACTGCTGGGCCCAGAAAATTAAAAGCCAGAGGCGTTTTCCATTTAAAACTAAATCCCAGTACCGCCTCCCAGCCAAAGAATTATAAGCAGTATCAGATTTACAAAACGAACAATTACCCTGGAAAAATGTAGCCTATTGTACGGTCCCAGATGCTAAATCTCAAAGTGTCTTCCCCCCACTTCTTTTTCTAATCCCACATTATATTCCTACCAAGCACACTGCTGTAGTTTAGGCCTGTCTAGAAATAGTTCTTTGTAAACTATGAAAATAAAATGTTAAGAGCTCATAATTCATTGACCTCATTTGAAGTGCTGCCCTTGCCTGCAGCAGTTCCTGTCCTTCCCCAAGGCCTCTGCAAATGGTATGCAACAGCAAAATAAACCCTGACCTAATTGCCAGGAGAGGGCTGCCAACCTTCCCTTGGAATACAAAGGCAAGCATGGTAACTTGAAAGTCCTACCTCTTTTGCTTTCTGCTTTAATCGCAGCTGTTCCAGATCTTCTTTATTGGAACGGCTCTATCAAAAGGAAAGGAAAGGGGGAGATATTCAAGAGGAATTAACTAGCACCCTAACACAACGTATTTTTAAATATTTAATAAGCCACATTTATTTCTCTCTTCTGATTGGAAACCTTAGCTGTAGGGGCTTGAGGCCTCCGGCAAGATTGGCACACACTCTCCCCACCCCTGTCGCCCGCCCTATAACCATCTCTTCATCAGGGACTGCTGCCTCTGTTCTCGCCCAGAGCAAGCTTGAACTAAAAATGATGCTAACGTTGTCAGTCAGGTCCAGCCTAGGCGTGATGATGTTCATGTCAGCAGCAGACATTGGCAAAGGGAGAAGGGGGAGTGAGAAAAGCAGCACAGATGCAAAAGAAGATTGGGGAGTACAGCAGACATCCTTAGGGAGCTTATTTTTTAAAACCTTCCCATTTTAGAATGTTAGGTAGATGTCAACATAGCACAATTACAAGGGCTGTAATAATGTAGTTTCAGATAGTCACCCATGAATGATCAGACATGGGAAGGAAAGACTTCCAGGCCTATTGACAGACTGGTGTGAGGTTAAGACTCACAGCTAACTCTTAACTATATGTATGTTAAATTTTGCTAAAATTGTCTACTAGATCTCCATTACAGTGATAAATGCTGACCTGAATTATGGAATGGAGAATCTGAGGAAGACTTTATCTACAAAAGCGTGTGCTACCTATTTCATTCTCTTACTCTCTAAGGAGCTATGAAGTCCCTTTGCATACTGGATTGCAGGATAATCTATGTATCCACGGGGCTAATATCCATGTTTGTTTTTTTTACAATATTCAACAAAGTGTGTCTTCTCTAGAAATCTCCAGTGTTCTCAAACATGACTCTATGTTATTCTTAGGCCAGATGCCTTCATTTCAATAAGGTACAGTATTTTGTTGTGATTTTGCATATCCAAGCAAAATCTGGTAACATATCCCCTGCTGATATGGCCGCCATACTGTATGGTGTTATTTTAAGACAGCTTAAAAAACCTTTAGCTCTCCATCTCCCATAGATCCCCACTATCATGTTGTGCTGGTTAGAGCTTCTGAGCGTTGAAGTCCAAAAAAAAAAAGTCCACAGGACCAAATGTTCAGAAGGCTCAATCTTATTGAATGACAATACTGATGGAATAGCTTCTATGACAGAAAGTGAGCTGGCAAGCTATTTCCCCTTTATTCTGTAAACAACCACACATCTTCAAAATCTGCTCCCATGGTCAGGGTAATCTGGGGAGCAGGTTTTCAGGAGGGAGAGGGGGCAGGAGAATTTTAATTTTTAAAACTGGATTTCATTATGTGTTCTCCATAATAACAGGAGATTCCTATGACTGACCCCCATTGTAATATTTGATATGGAAATATTTGGTGAGGGATGGCAATTGCCAAGAATTCTGTGAAATCTGGAGAAAAATGTCTGAAATGATTTGAAAATTGGATAAAGAAATGTCTCTTCACTGATTGTGGTTTGTTGAATAGCAAAAAGAATTTGAATGTTTTTTTTAAAGTGTAGACTAGACATTCCTAAATTTAAGCAAAATATGCATGTGGTCTTTTTAATTAGGTTTTGGAACCCTGTGGCAAATTTCTAATGTTTGCCATTTCCTATGATTACAAATGGGTCAAAAGTTTACATCTAGGAAGCAATAGTTCAATGTGTTAAAGAAGGGTCAAACTAAAGGAACAGTCAAGCCCACTGTATTCACAGGGGATTGGTTCTCAGATACACTATAAATACAAAATCCAAGGATGCTCAAGTCCCATTATATACCGTTACATGGCAAAATTGTGTTCCTTATATAAAATAGCAAACAACTCAAGAGCTGGAGAGAAGCTGAAAGATTGTGAAATGATGAGAGGCTAAAGCATGATATGTCTACACATCAGCATAGTAATAAGTGTGTGTCACAATAGGGTTTGCATTTTAGATTGTTCCTTACTTACTAAGTTCCCATTGACTCAATGGGCCTACTTGATTGAGGGACAACAACTGCATTTATGCCGCTGAGAAGATCAAGAGTAGTTCTGGGTGCTCTGTACAACCATCTGAGTCTTTTCTGAATTTCTTCTTGCAAGTACGTGTTGAGCATCCCTTATGCAGAATTCCAAAATCCAAAAAAACCCTCAAAAATCCAAAATAGTCCACATGGGTGGCTGAGATAGTGAAACGTTTGTTTCCTGACAGTTCACTGCACACAACCTTGGTTCCATTTACAAGGTTATTTATTAAAATACTATATAAAATTACCTTCAGGCTACATGCATATGGTGTATATGAAACTCAAATGAATTTTATGTTTAGACTTGGATCCCATCTCCCAGATATCTCCTTAAAATATAAGAATTCCAAAATATGAAAAAATGCAAAAAAAAAATCTGTTCCCAAACATTTTGGATAAGGAATACTCAACCAGTAAAAAGCTTCAACTGTTCAAGAAAGCTTTCTCAGAGTCTCATTCTTTCCCTTGAACCTTTAGACCTGAAGGACTTTAATTTTTTCCCTTGAAACCAACAAACCATGGATCCTTTGAGGATGCCATGCCCTTCTGAATTATCTCACCTTGGCTGCACGGAGCAACTTCTCTCTTTCTTCTTCATCCCTTCTCTGTTTCTCTACCTGGTCCAGCTGTTCAAGAAATGTAAGTTGAGCCCGTGTATCACTAGATACTGTGTATATGTCTTTATCCTAAAAAAAGGAGAAAAATGAATTTATTATTTTAATTTTATTAATATACTATATGAATCAAGGCTCAGAAAACTCTGCATCTTGAAAACAGATTTTGGAGTCTTTATTAATGGTGAAGATGAATTCGTTTAATGGGAAAACAATAAACATTGACATTTTGTTTAGCAAGATTGCATCTCTTAGAACTACTTTGCTCAAGGTTAAGGCTTGCTAAGTCAGCTCTCAATATCTGTTCTCTATTAGTGATTTAACAGTATTTACATTTTTTTCTAACACAACACAGGTATTTGGGTTGTTTACAATGTGTGTGCATGTGCTTATTGACTTATAATGACTGCATGAATTTCATAGGGTTTTCAAAGGCAATGAATACTTAAGAGGTGATTTTGCCAGCCCCTTCCTCTAAAACAGTGTTTCTCAAACTAACCAGCTGTTAGGAATTGTGGGCTCCAGCAAAGGATCACCGCCTTGTTGTGGCGCTGGAGCTTGAGCACCTCAATGATGTCATGAGCGAAACCGTGAAGGGTCACCCAAAGCGCAAAAGCTGGGTTGCAGCTAAAACGTCAAAATAACCAAGATTATGGCAACAAGAATGATTGACAACTGGAAAATAGAGGGAGAAAAATGTGGAGGCCGTGACAGACTTTGTATTTCTAGGTGCAAAGATTACTGCAGATGCAGACTGTGGCCAGGAAATCAGAAGACGCTTACTTCTTGGGAGGAGAGCAATGTCCAATCTCGATAAAATAGTAAAGAGTAGAGACATCAGACTGGCAACAAAGATCCGCCTAGTCAAAGCCATGGTATTCCCTGTAGTAACCTACGGATGTGAGAGCTGGACCTTAGGGAAGGCTGAGCGAAGGAAGACAGATGCTTTTGAACTGTGGTGTTGGAGGAAAGTTCTGAGAGTGCCTTGGACTGCGAGAAGATCCAACCAGTCCATCCTCCAGGAAATAAAGCCCGCTCATTGGAGGGAAGGATACTAGAGACAAAGTTGAAGTACTTTGGCCACATCATGAGGAGACAGCAAAGCCTAGAGAAGACAATTATGCTGGGGAAAGTGGAAGGTAAAAGGAAGAGGGGCCGACCAAGGGCAAGATGGATGGATGGCATCCTTGAAGTGACTGGACTGACCTTGAAGGAGCTGGGGGTGGTGATGGCCGACAGGGAGCTCTGGCGTGGACTGGTCCATGAGGTCACGAAGAGTCGGAGAGGACTGAACAAATGAACAACAACAGGAATTGTGGGAGCTGAAGTTCAAAACATCTGGAGGAGCAGTTTGAGAAACTCTGCTAAAAATACAGGGTGCAACACCTAATATTCATTTGTAGTCTCCCATCCAAGTACTACCTAGGCTGAACTTTGCTTCCAAAATCAGATGAGATCTGGTGCCTTTGTGATGCTTAGAAACAGATGCAACAATGAAAACAAAGATCCAGGAAGATTTTGCATGAAAAAGCAAAATCATAAATAAATTAACAAAGAACTACACAAGCATCTCTAAATCTATAAGTTATGAAAAGAGTTCAAACTTAAAAGGCTCAATGAGTAACCCAATAATTTAAGGAAACTGCAACCCCCTTCAGAGCACAGAGAACTCTGATTAGCTTGTAACTACCCTCTAAGATCTCTATTTTACTTGTACTAGGGGAGTGATTAAGTCTAATGCAAAGTATATACAATGCCTCTTTCATAAAACCTTATTGAAGGCATAGGGCAGCTTTTGACTATGGATGCAGTATATGCAGAGCAAATGTTTTGCTAAGTATGTCAACAGTGCCAGGGAGGGCAATTTTAGTTCTGAATGAATTGGGAAGAGACTATAAAACTACCTTTATCATCTCCACCTCCCTATATATTTAATTATAACAAACATTTATAATTTAGACATTTATACGCTATGGCTAAATGGCAGTGTATAGTTTTGTCCAGGATTTGAGTTGACAGAGTTACATCTAACTCAATAGTTCTCAACCTATGGGTCCCCAGATGTTTTGGTCTTCAACTCCCAGAAATCCTAACAGCTGGTAAACTGGCTGGGGTTTCTGGGAGTTGTAGGCCCAAACACCTGGGGACCCCACAGGTTGAAAACCACTGATCTAACTGATTTCTTCCACCACGTTCTGATTTAGAAGACCGACTGCCTCACTTAGATGTGATAGAAGATAGTTGGAAGTCATCTGATTAGTGACAACACTGTAGTCCCCATCCATGGAACACCTCTTCATGAAATTTTATGTAGAAGTTAAACTGCAGAGGAAAGAGCAATAATCCATCTTCTAGAACTGATTAACAAACTAGGGTCAAAATACAATATGAATTCTTTTTATTGAGTAGAAGGTTTTAGACAATGGCATAAGAGGCAATCAAGGTCAAAAAAGTCAACTGTGTTGGACAGCTACTGACACCCTCAGCAAAAAGAGTTTTCCATTCCAAAAACAGGCCAACATTCAGCTGAAATGCATCTAGAAAATTAGTTTCGTTCCAAAGTAGTGCCTAGATCTGCCTAAAAGGAAACATTTACCTAGAAGTAAAACACTACTGATCAGCCTGCTGTTACTTACATCTTTTACAATTCCTGCAATAGTGATCTGATTACTAATTATTTTTAAAGAGATTGGAATTGCCCACTTTCACAGAGAATAATTTGCAACCACAGCAACTAGACCCAAGATACTAGTGATTATGTCAGTTGTACCTGCATGTATAAGAAAAAGGCTTATCATTAATTAATTTAGGCTATGTCTAATTATAAGCTGCCAGTGTGCTCAGAAAAATAAGCCCAGCACCAAGGAGTAGCTTCACTGATGCCTGATGAAACTCAAAAACAATGTAGGCTGAGATCTCATGGGCAGAGAACACAGTTTACATGAAGAAGGTCCAAGGCTGAACCCTTGTCATTCTTCGTTTCAAAAGACCAGCTAACAGGTGACGAGAAGGGCTTCTGGCTGACATCCTGAACTGCTACTGTGAGGCAAACACAGACAACACTGGGTTGGATGGACATAACAGTCCGGTCTGTTACACATCAGCTCCTGTATTCCACTTCCTGCATTATAGTTAATACAGAAAAGTGATTGCAAAACTTAGGATCTACAAGGAAAAGAGTCCCCAGCTTCTATTTACATCACTTAAAAGCTTTTCAGATGTTTATTCTGTGTAAATCCAGGGTGCTAAGATATGACGTACTGGCTCAGTATTTGAAATGGCATTTTTTAAATTTATGATATTTGCACATGCAGCACCGCAGCACCTTTGTGCAGCACTGAACTTGCAAATATTTGCAAATAAATACTCACAGAAAAGAAAATACCTAGGAACAGGTTCAGTATCAAGCATGCTTTGCTCTGACAACAATAATAAATTGCTTTGAATTTTGAATAGTGCAGAATTACAGGTTGAGTATTCCTGGCAATCCAAACAGTTCACATGTCTGGCTAGACAGTGATACCTTTGCTTTCTGGTTGTTCAGAGTATACAAAGTTTGTGTCAGGCACAAAATTATTAAATATAGTGTAGAAAATTACCTTCAGACTGTATATGAAACATAAATGGATTTCATGTTTAGACTTGGATTCCATTTCCAAGATTTCTTATTATGCATATTATGCATATGCAAGTATTCCAAAATCTGGGAAATAACTGAAATATAGAACCTTTCTGTCCCAAACATTTTGGATAACAAGTGCCGAACATATATCTGAATGGTGACAAAGTATGGCATCTTGCAAATGCTCCAATATTGTTTAAAAATAATTTTATGTCCTAATCTTCTAACATGGTAAATTTGTCTTTTAGCAGCAGAAGAATACAAAGATTTTGCATTGTTTCATTTAAAATTGGGCTGTCAGGAACAACCTTTTAGAATTTCTCAGAAGAGAAAAGACAGCCATCCTCTTACTAGACCAATGGTTTTCAGCCTGTAGGTCCCCAGATGATTTGGACTACAACTCCCAGAAATCCCAGCCACTTTACCAGCTCTTCGGATTTTTGGGAGTTGAAGGCCAAAGAATCTGGGGACCCACAGGTTGAGAACTACTGCACTAGACCAATGGTTAAATCTCCTCCCTGCTTGTCATGTGGATCTGGTCAACTAAGACAAGGAAGGAAAGAAGATGGGTCAGAAAAGTCCTGGCTGCACATCCTCCTGAATGACAAGTGTTTTAAGACAATATATGGAAGTTCTCCTGGTTGCAATCTGGTAACGCTCAAGCTGTTTTCAAATGTTCAGTGAGTCAAATGCCCATGAAGAATGATAACATTTAAGCACATAGTATATACAGCAGTTTTGAGAACTCTGCAGTGTTCCAGATGCTCCTAAACTTAAACCCCCATTAGCCTCAGCCAGTGTGGCCAATGAACAAGGCTGGTGACAGCAGTCCAACAACATCTGTAAAACCACTGGTAATGCAACAGAGGTGGACTTCCAAATCCACCACCGTTGCTAGCTCCTGTAAAGACAGAAAAGCAGTTTTTCTATAAGTGAAAACTACAACTTAAGAAAAGTATCATTCATATTCTCTGCAACTATAACATTTGAGATAAAATTTAAAAAGACCTCTCGCTCCTAAGAGTTACACTGTAATATTTAGGTCTAAATAAAATTGTTAGAATCTCTGATCTCTAGAAATTCTAATGTATATTTGTATATAAAAAGTTATTCCAATATGTAGTGCTTGTAGTGCAGAAAATAATCGGTAATGTGCCTTAGCCACCATTTTCCAGTTCGCAAGCCTTGAGGCTCCCCAAAACGATTCCATAAAGAAACAGGATGTTATAGTGAGTTCAGCCTTAGAATATGACCAGGATCTGAATTCCCCCTCAGTCATGCAAATCCACTCCATGACATTGGGCAAGTCACACATTCTAGCTTCAGAGGAAGGCAAGGGCAAATCCCACGTTAGAGTTAAAAACTTACTAATATATATGGAAGATGAGACAGCTTGGTTGTGAAACACTCAAGCTGGGAGATATCATTTGATATACATTTGTGTCATTGTCACTGACCATGTTTGATCCTACATGGCCAAATATCTTCTAGATTGCACAGAAGTCAAAGGCATCTGTTAGCACCCACACATGCACAAGAAAGAGTGAAAAAATCCCATATTGTTATCCTTCAGAAGGTTACAATGGAATAGGGACTTTGTGGCCTTGCAGTTGTCATCAATTTTCTATTTATTTTTAGTCAAGTTAGGGTTTAGTACAACCTAACAATCAAGATACTATGTGCTTAAATGTTATCATTCTTCATAATGAACTTAGGGTGCATGATCTCAATTTAAAATGCCACTAACAAAATACTGTTCAGATCAAGAAGCCCAATGAGGTTTTCTTTTTTTTCTTTTACCTTATAGGTCACCATGCGATGTTGAGCAATTACAGTCAGTTTCTCCAGAAGCCCTCTTAATCTCTTCTGTGTAGCATGGGAGATCAAGTTCAGAACATCCGAATTAACTTCCATAATGCCATGCTTTTTACCTGTGGAGGCAGAAAAAATCCATTACGTGTTTTAGTACTAGCTGATAATTGAAATAATTAGCACAGCAGGTATTCTGTTCCCCCTGGAAGTCATACCCATTATGAATAAAGGTTTGGGAGATTGTGATTTTCCTGGTAAAGTCACAACTTCAAAGATCTTAGACATTACATTAATAAAACCTAGCCCACAGCTTCAGAAAATAGACATTGTTTCACTTAGCCTCTAGAATCACTCTCCTTGCAAGGTCATTTATAGGACAAACTTAATAAGAATACAGAAATCAAGCCTTGTGGTTTGGAGAAGGAGAGAAACAGTAGCAGTAGAAATTAGTGCCATATTCTGTTAATTTCAGTAATTAAAAAAACAGAGAATTACATTTTGCCCTTTTTGACACAGTGCTTGTTAAATTCTGACATGTTAATGAACAGAGATGGTTTTTGCAACATACTTCAGGCATCTGAGTCTGAGCCCTTTCTGTACCCCTGCCATCCCAACAACAGATGGCAAGATGACCTACACCCCCAAGAGAACTGCTTCGAAAACAGCGAACTCAATTAGGTTCCTAATGCAGCCCCCTTCCCTCTCTACTACTATCTCTGCAACTTGGTAGATGAGCTCTTCTTTTTGCCCTTTCAGCATCACCATCCACTCTCCTCACTCCTGCTGGTATTCTCAGAGCATCAACACCAAGGCCAATTGCTTTTAGTGAAGCTCCTTGAACCCTGTGATAAGACCATGCTTCACCTCTGCAATGCCCTCAAGTTGCACATACACTAATAAAAGTTTTCTCTGGTTGACAACTGACCTCCACCAGCACAGGTTTAGTGAGGTAGAGTGAATATCCAATTCAATGTTAGAGCAGCAAGTGACTTAAACCCATACCCAGAGGCATTTTCTTGCACCTGCACTCCCTCTTCTGGGATGTGATGACTGAAGAACACAAAATGTATGTTGATGCACAAAAGCGACCTACTTTGACATCAAAAATAAAATGCAGACTTAAAACAGACAGGTGTGGCTCCTGCTTTCGAAGCACAAATTAGACAAGCCACTATCAACATAAAACAATTGTCTTGCATTAAATTGCTGGAATGTGTTCTTTACCAGTTAAGCGTTGGATTTAAACAGTGTTGTTCACTGATGCAAGATAGCTTCACTCAAGTAGCTTTCAAACATACCCTTAAATTAAGAGATGCGGTAAACAAAATGATAGCTCAAATATGATTGATAATAAGGATGGCCATGATTTAGAGCAGGGAGGATCTAGACATGGTGTCTGTACTAAATACTGATGTGTCCAACTATGTTAATAAAAAGAATGGAGTTTAAAAATATTCAGACAACACTTTAATGTTGCATTTCTTTGGATTCTGTAAATTGGACCCCTCTGTTTTTACTGCATATATTCTGTAATTTGTTTATTTATTATATATTCAATTTGCATCCCAAAATTTTAGGCTGAGGCAGTTTTAGGACCAGTAGAGGCCTTCTTCTAAAACAAAACATATATGAGAAATATCTCTTTCTGTATTGTCGAAGGCTTTCATGGCTGGAATCACTCAGTTCTTGTGGGTTTTTTCGGGCTATATGGCCATGTTCTAGAGGCATTTCTCCTGACGTTTCGCCTGCATCTATGGCAAGCATCCTCAGAGGTGAGGTCTGCTGAGCTGGGAAAAAAGGGGTTTATATATCTGTGGAATGACCAGGGTGAGACAAAGGGCTTTTGTAAGTTGGGCTAGGTGTGAATCTTTCAACTGACCACCTTGATTAGCATACAATGGGCTGACTGTGCCTGGAGCAAACTCTTCTTGAAAGGTGATTAGATGTCCCTGCCTATTTTTCTCTCTGCTGTTTTTGCTGTTGCAATTTTAGAATTGGTCCAGCATTTTGTGGACCACTCTCACAACCACCATGTCAGACTACACAGAGAAGCCATTGAAATCCACAATAAGCATGTGGACAATTTCAACAGAAAGGAAGAAACCATGAAAATGAACAAAATCTGGCTACCAGTATTAAAAAATTCTAAAATTGCAACAGCAAAAACAGCAGAGAGAAAAACAGGCAGGGATAATAAGAACTTACCTATCAGACTAATGGGGTATTCCAAAGGAAGACCATTCTAGGAGTATCTGTCTTATTAAAGCAAAGTATGGGAAACATTTTCAGAAATAGAACTTTCAGCACCAATGCTGGCTAGTATTTGTTGCCTGGTCAGCTATTGACAACTTCTAAGCCAACCAATAGACCCTCATTCTCCCTGAAATAATTCTTGGAGCAATGGCCACAGAGCCATTTAGCAATTGTGACCTTCTCCAAAACACTGTACAATTCTCAAGGAGGTGCGCTGCATAGAGCTTTGCATACAGTGCTCTCTACCCTATCATTAAAACCAATTCTCATCATCATCATCATCATCATCATCATCATCATCATCATCATCATCTAATAACTTATTAATCGCCCTCCATCTGAGAATGCTCCAGGCGATTTACAGCTAAATTACAAAAGATAAAATACATACATACAAAAATTAAAAATCAACAGAGATTGAATGCTCTAGTAAAAAGCCAGGTCTTAAGTGCGAGAGTAAAAGGCCCTAAGTCACGCATGGCTCTCATGTAGGGCGGCAAGGAATTCCACAAGGCAGGGGCAGAAATAGAAAAAGCCCTGCACCTGGTCCTTTCCAAGTGCACTTCTCTAGGACCTGCTATATAGAGTAAGTCACGTTGGACTGGTCGTTGCGACCTCCGATGAGAATGAGAGGCGGTCCCTAAGGTACGATGGACCCTGGCCGTAAAGAGTTTTAAAGGTCAGAACTAGCATCTTATACAGGCCACGGTACTCAGTTGGAAGCCAATGTAAATGTTGCAGCACTGGTGTTATATGGCATTTCATGGGCGTTCTTGTGAGTAATCTGGCTGCCGCATTCTGAGCAATATGAAGCTTTCGGGTCGTATACATCGGAAGGCCCACATACAGGGCATTACAATAGTCCAGCCTAGACGTGACTGTGGCATGGATGACAGTTGCCAGAGCCTCGTCAGATAGGTAGGGTGCCAGTTGTCTCGCTTGTCGTAGATGGAAAAAGGCCTGTTTGCTGGCAGCAGTGACCTGAGCTTCCTTTGTCAGCTGTGAATCCAAGATGACACCTAAACTCTTAACAGTGGTCGATGGAGATAGGGCGGCACCATCGAAGGTGGGTAATGGAAGAGTCAGACCTGCCGGGCGGCCATGCCAGAGAATCTCAGTCTTCGCCGGGTTCACCTTCAGTCTGCTAGCACGTAGCCAGTTTGACAGAGCTTCCAGACATAGGCTGAAATTGTCTGGAATTGACGTTGCTCCAGACTCCAAACGCAGAAGTTGGGTATCGTCTGCATATTGGTAGCAGTCCAGGCCGAAACTCGGAGCCAAACTAGCAAGGGGTCTAACGTAGATGTTGAAGAGAAGAGGAGAGAGAATTGCACCTTGGGGGACCCCACATAGGAGGGGGGATCTATCAGAGACTTGATCCATGTACTCCACGCGTTGATTTCGGTTCCGGAGAAATGAGTTGAACCAATTGAGGGCCTGACCACGAACTCCAGACGTGGCAAGACGGTGAATTCTGCAGAGTTATAGTACTCCACCTTTCCAAAATTGTAGTACAGAAACATAGAGGTATAGTAACAGTATCAGGATTAGACAATGACACTGCCACTATATCTCTGATTAAAATCTGTTATCTGTATCCAGGCTCTGTTTACCCTTCTAGTCCAGTTAACATCTTTGGCAATAATCAACTTATATACCCCAATGAATTCTGTCGGCTTTGGGAAATTGATGTTTCTGTTTGATGTTTGTTTTCTGTTGATATAATTTACGTGACAGGTTATGTCTTATTTTAATTTTATTTATTTAGGGTATTTTTACCCCGCCCTTCTCAACCCCCTGGGGGGACCCAGGGCGGCTTCGAGCCGGCACATATTCGATGCCTACAATTAAACACAATAAAATACACAACAAACAGTGATTATAATTATTAAAACATTGAGTTAATACAATAAAATCTACTAGAAAAGAAGCCAGCCTGGTGGCCATCGTTTCACCGAGTTCTGTAATTAGTGATTCCATTCAGCTTATCATAATCCGTTTCCATAGCTCTTGTAATCATTGTCCTTGTCAGTCTGTCAGATTGCCCAAAGGCCTGGTCCCATATCCATGTTTTTAATTTACTTCTAAAAGACAGGAGGAATGACAATGATCTAATTTCCCCAGGTAGTGAATTCCACAGGCGAGGGGCCACCACCGAGAAGGCCCTGTCCCTCGTCCCCATCAGTCTCGTTTCTGACAAGGGCGGGGCCAAGAGCAGAGCCTCTCCAGAAGATCTTAAATTCCTAGGTGGGATGTAGAAGGAGATACATTTGGATAGTTACGCTGGGCCGGAGCCGTATAGGGTTTTATAGGTCAAGACTAGCAATTTGAATTGTGCTCGGAATGGATCGGCGGCCAGTAGAGCTGACATAGCAGAGGGGTGGTAAGATGTTAAGTTGTAATTTGTTCTTATATAATTGGGTTATTATTATTTTTTCTATTATGTGTATTGGTTGTCGTATTCAGGCATTGAATGTTTGCCTTTATGTGATTGGAATCCGTCCTGACTCCCTTTGGGGAGACAGGGCGGAATATAAATAAAGTGTTGTTGTTGTTGTTGTTATATTCAAGGAGCAGCAAAAAGGATGAAGTGATGTCAACAAGCCCAGAGGAAGAACATTCATTTCACCTATTGGCTCAGATTCATTTGTTGACCAAATCTGAAGAAGAAACGCTATCCCATGGAGTTGTAAGAATCAAAGCTCTATCCTTAAAGCTCAGAGGACCCAGGTAGTAATTATTCTTAGTAATAAATCTAGTTCCACTCTGAGATTAAACATTAAGTTTTAGGATTTCTTGGATAAGTTTCAAAGGGCCAACCTGTGCATATTAACTACATGTTGGTTCCAAGAACTAGAATGGGTTGAATATCAGCAGAACTGACCTGAAAATAATAATATCCAGTTTCAAATATTAATATTTGAAATATTTGCACATTCTAAACATCTGTTTCAATGGCACTAAGACATCAATTAGTTTGTCACCTTAACACCATACCTAGTAACTATCGCTCAGTTTCAAACCTTCCAATTTTGGGCAAGGTGATTGAGCAGACAGTGGCAGGGCACCTACAGCAATTCTTAGATGAGACTGCAGGTTTGGACCCCTTTCAATCAGGCTTTCGCTGAGGTCATGGGACAGAGACTGTCTTGGTAGCTATTACTGATGAAATTCGTCGTCAGTTAGACTGAGGTGGATCAGCGCTATTGGTACTCTTGGATCTCACCGCTGCATTCGACACCATGGACCATGACTTGCTGATTCATCGATTGGCTATGCCTGGTGTATGAGGTTTAGCCCTGAAATTGCTCAGTTCGTTCCTCCAGGACCGGAGACAGAGGGTGGAGTGGTTAGGCCAAAGCTCTGAGAGCTCCTGCCTTTGCTGTGGAGTTCCCCAGGGTGCTATCCTCTCGCCCGTTATTTAACATCTACGTCCGGCCACTTGCTGGACTGGTGCGGAGCTTTGGCATAGAGTGCTACCAGTATGCAGATGATACCCAGCTACTCTTGCATCTCAAACCTGGGACAACCGCGATTCCTGAGAACTTTAGGCTGTGTTTGGAAGCAGTGATGAGTTGGCTGCGAGCGAGCAGACTAAAAGTGAATCCTGCAAAAACTGGGATACTCTGGCCTGGCCAGCCGCCAGAATTAATCCAGTCTCTGCCTGATTTCGATGGGGAAGCTCTGGTTCCATCTGCCACTGTTAAAAGCCTTGGGGTTGTGTTGGACTCATCGCTGACGATGGAGGCCCAGATCACTGCCATAAGTAAGCAGGCCTTTTTTCATCTTCACCAGGCAAGGAAATTGGCATCCTACCTTTCGGTAGAAGCATTGGCAACGGTAATCCACGCAGCAGTCGCCACGAGGTTGGACTATTGCAACACCTTATATGCCGGCCTTCCGTAGTCAACAACTCAGAAGATTCGGATGGTCCAAAATGCTGCAGCCAGGCTGCTAGCAGGATCATCTATAAGATCCCATATCACACCAATTCTGCAACAACTGCATTGGATACCAATAGAACATCGGATCTCTTACAAGATACTGGCCAAGGACCTTTATATCTTTGGGACTGCCTCATTCCTTTTCTCCATCAGTGGTCACCTCGATTCACCCAGGACAATCTCCTCTACATACCGGGCCCTAGGGAGGTACACCTGGAAGCTACAAGGCATAGAGCTTTTTCGACCTATGCTCCAATTCTGTGGAACTCTTTGCCTCCATACATTAGGGCAATGTCGGAGTTGCAACCTTTTGTAAAGGCACTCAAGACTTGGCTGTTTGGTTGTGCATTTAAGTAATCAGATCTAATTTGCCAAATAGTCACTGTTGAATGTTTTTATGTTGAATGTTTTTATATTGTGTAAATGCTATTTTAGATTGTAAGTCACTCGGAGCACCTTGGTGGAGAGCGACTAACTAAGAAATAAAGTGAACTGAACTGAACTGCCCGTCTTTAAATAAGTCTTTGTGCTCAGTAAAGAGTGAGGACAGTACATTCAGAAAATGAATAATCAAGGCTAAGATATGAGAAGTCCACATTATGACCTGGAGTATTCTCCAAATTTAAGATTTCTCACCTATTTCTAAGATCTTCTTCTGCAGTGCATCCAAAGAAAGGAGGAGTTCCTCTGGACAAGACTGGATGACTGAACCAACTGCTTCAGAATGAGATGTCAATATGCATGCACTCTCTTCACTCAGATTGACTCCAGCCATAGAAGTCACATCATTGATATCATCTTCATCTCTATCAAACAAAAACACAACTTTTCTTATATCATGTATTACTGTATTAAAAACAAACAGTCCATAAAATAACGACTTTTACCAATGGAAAGGTAATTCCTTGCAAACTGTTCCTTAACTTATCTGATCTACACTCTCCAATTTAACCATTAGGTACACTTTTGGACTTAGGCATTCTTTTCTCTCCCTTAAATGTAGAAACAAATTAAGATTTCCAAGAAGTGTAACCCTTAGATCATAACCAACATCAAGGGCTTAAAGTCTGAAGGCCAAGTTAGACATCAAAAAGATAAGAGAGGGGAGCGAAATCTAGAATGAGTGGGAGACAATGTCATTTGACATCATGCTGAGAAAGAAACTGGCAGTAAGATTATCTGATAAAGTCAAGTGGTGACTGGAAAGAACAAATTAACTGTTGACCCCATCCACTCCTGCTTAACCCCACCGCCCCTATTCCAAAATGACAAAGTGAAAAAGGACTGTCAAGATATAATTCTATCTACATGCATTGTGTATTTTACCTTTAAGTTAGCCTAGTCAGAAATAACCACACATTCCAAATTGTGGTGGTATTGTGCAACATCCACTGCTGTTTAAGCAGATGTTAGAACAAGCTTTTGGGCTATACTTCTCTCAAAATGCAGCATATAAGAATACAGCATACATGAAAATACAATTTAAAAAACCACAACAGCAGATAGGGTTTTAAAAAAAAAGACCCACTGATCAAATGGGGTATTGTTAAATAAACATTTCCCATTTCTATCAGTATATATTATCTAAACAAATAATGAATTCAAAACACCTAGAGACATTTGTTCACATATATTATATTTTGGAAAGGCTCAGTAAAAGGTGATACATAAATGAAGGTATAGTGCTCATCAGGTTATATTTTTGTAAAAAAAAAACCCACGCTAGCAGATTTACCAACATGTTGCTATAAACATACAGAAAGAAGCAGATCTGATATTTAGAACTCTCCACAAACTTGTATTGAATTGTTACACCAATTACATACTGCTTAAGAAGTCTATTAAGATTGTTAACAGTGCTTTCTGAGGAACACCATATGAACTTTAACAGTCTCAAGTGGCTTCAAGTTAATAGTTAAGGCCAAGCGCAATTGATCCTACGTTTTATGTAAAATTTAACATTCAAGTCCTGCCTAGATTGGTGCAGCCTTGGTTAGATAATGGTCTCTAAAACACCTAGAGGACCAACATTTGAAAGACATTGATCTAAATGTCAGTAAAGCAATAAAATAAAACTAGAACCAGTCTATGAGAATATGTCCTCCAATGCATTTAACAGGGACATGTTGCATCATGGATACAACACCAAGGCATTTAAAAGAAATGGGTGAGAAAGCTAAGTAGGTTCCAGTCTGATGTAACATTTGATTGACGAAGCAAAAGAAATGATGCTCCTTTTGGCCATTAAGTGTGGTAGGGATTCTAAACACTAGTATTACAAGGTGGGATTTTGGACCTATTACTTATTCATATATCAGGACACTCCACAATGTAAGCTAAGTCCCTTTTGATGGATGTCTAACAACAAAAAGGCCTGGTTTCAGTTTTTGATTCATATGCCCATTTGTTTTGGCTTAGAACCTTATTTTGAAAATCTAATTTCCTACATGGCTATACATATGTGCCTCCATGTTGCTTATTGGCTTATAGTGATCCCACGAATTTCATGCAGTTTTCTTAGGCAGAGAATTTTCAGAGTTGGTTTTGCCAGTTCCTTCCTCTCAAATATAGCTGACAGTACCTGGTACTCATTAGGTGTCCCCCATCCAAGATCTGATCTTGTAGATTTCAGGTATTTGGACTGTAAAGGGGGCATATTTCTTTATACAAGCCAATCCTGTATGCAAGCATAGTGATCTCTTACTGGGAAAAGCAAAACAGATACAAAGCAAGGGAATTGTGCAAACAATCCTTAAAAGGAATGGATGTGTGCAAAGTCATTTCTTTCTACAATGATTATGTGTGCTCTTTTGATTGAAATAGCACATTGTAAGGATGTAACATAATAAATTTCATACACCAGATGGAGGTCTTATGGAACTCTGATCAACAAGAGCTGTTTGATTTTTGTGCAAATGATACCAATGGACAAGTTATTGTTTCCATATCCCCCTCAAAAGCATTGTTACTGGAAGTTAAGAAAGGAAAGCCAGCCATGAAAAACCAATCCTTTAGCTGGAAGGTAGCATTGTCACAAAAAATCCCCCTACATTCTATTATTTTCCTTACTTATAACCGATTTGTGTTGAATCTGGAAGGGAGTAAAAGGGGGAAGTAATCTGGTGCGTGTCCAGCTGAGGCCAGATGTCAACTTTGGCATCCTTCATAGACATCCTCATCCTCTGGGCAAAACACTAAGGTCCTAAGGGCAATCCAATAATTGGGTTGTTCCCTGGTTGGTCACTTACTGCAAGATAAACCCAGGATCTATAAGTGAAAGCAAATTGCTCAGCTCAGCCACCATCCAGAACCCAGGAGGACTCTACCCTTCACCAAAAGAGGTGCCAAGATGTATACAAAAATTATATATTTTGCCAGTGATATCTATTTACCACCCTTAGCTAATCATCATCTCAGAGGCAAGCAAAAAAGCCCAGCTTTAAAAAGACCTCAATTTAACTTGGATTCCTCTGGATAATACCCATTTCAATTTTGAGGAGGCCTCACTCTCTGTAGTATTGCTTCAGTCTGGAATTCATTTATTGTTGCTATTACGTTTCAGACTACCAATATAGATATTGTTCTTCTCTGGTATTTAGATATTCCTGGTGTAAAGTACTCTCATTGGATCATCTGACATATTCCACCTACTACAGAAGCCTCTTGTCTCCTTAAAACTCTTAATCATTTAGCTTCTTCCCGTGTCCTCAAGTATGACCTAATCATATCTTTGAATGCCGTCTGTAGCAAGACCCTTCTGGTCTTCCAATTTCATGCATCTTGTTCAATTCGTTATCAAACAGAAATCACACAAACTGCACAAGGCTTCAGCACCCTCTGCTGTTCAAATGCCGGCCACACACTTTTAATTCCATTTTAATTACTTCATTGTTCTAAAAATAAGGACAGCCTGTGGGATGTCAGCCAAAGGCTGCTAATCAAAATCTGCATGAAGCAATTTAAATGTAATGTAGGATTAGGTAGATAGTGCTATCAGATATTAAGCAGCTATTTTACTTATTTGACTCCATTGTCTTTTCCTACACCTTAAACTCCAGCAAAGGATCACCGCCTTGTCGGGGCGCTGGAGCTTGAGCACCTCAATGATGTCATGAGCGAAACCGTGAAGGGCCACCCAAGACGGGACGGTTGTGGCAGAGAGGTCAGACCAAGCGTGATCCCTGGGGAAGGCAATGGCAAACCACTCCAGTATCCTTGCCAAGAAAACTAAATGGACCAGTACAACCAGAGATATGTCGGTATGCCATTGGAAGATGGGGCTCCCAGGTCGGAAGATGGCCAAAATGCTACTGGGGAGGAGCAGAGGATAAGTTCAACTAGCCCCAGATGTGATGACGCAGCTAGCTCAAAGCCGAAAGGAAGGCTAGCGGCCGACGGTACTGGAGGTGAACGATGAATCCGATGCTCTAAAGATCAACACACCATAGGAACCTGGAATGTAAGATCTATGAGCCAGGGCAAATTGGATGTTGTTATTGGTGAGATGTCAAGACTAAAGATAGACATTCTGGGGGTCAGCGAACGGAAATGGACTGGAATGGGCCACTTCACATCAGATGACCACCAGATCTACTACTGCGGACAAGAGGAACATCGAAGAAATGGAGTAGCCTTCATAATTAATAAGAAATTCGCTAAAGCGGTGCTTGGATACAACCCAAAAAATGACAGAATGATCTCAATTCGAGTGCAAGGAAAGCCTTTCAACATTACAGTGATCCAAATATATGCCCCAACCACAGCTGCTGAAGAAGCAGAAGTAGATCAGTTCTATGAGGATCTGCAGGACCTACTGGATAATACACCAAAAAGAGACATTATTTTTATTACAGGAGACTGGAATGCCAAGGTGGGAAGTCAAATGACAACTGGGATCACAGGCAAGCATGGTCTGGGAGAACAAAATGAAGCGGGACGCAGGCTGATAGAATTTTGCCAGGAAAACTCGCTGTGTATAGCGAATACTCTCTTCCAACAACCTAAAAGACGGCTTTACACATGGACCTCACCAGACGGTCAACACCGAAATCAGATTGACTACATCCTTTGCAGCCAAAGGTGGCGGACATCCATCCAGTCGGTGAAAACAAGACCTGGGCTGACTGTAGCTCAGATCACGAACTTCTTATTGCCCAATTTAGAATAAAACTAAAGAGATCAGGGAAAATACACAGACCAGTTAGATATGATCTCACTAACATTCCTAGCGAATATACAGTGGAAGTGAAGAACAGATTTGAAGGACTAGATTTAGTAAACAGAGTCCCAGAAGAACTATGGACAGAAATCCGCGACATTGTTCAGGAGGCGGCAACAAAGTACGTTCCAAAGAAAAAGAAAACCAAGAAGGCAAAATGGTTGTCTGCTGAGACACTGGAAGTAGCCCAAGAAAGGAGGAAAGCAAAAGGAAACAGTGAAAAGGGGAGATATGCCCAGTTAAATGCGCAATTCCAGAGGTTAGCCAGAAGAGATAAGGAACTATTTTTAAATAAGCAATGCATGGAAGTGGAAGAAGACAACAGAATAGGAAGGACAAGAGACCTCTTCCAGAAAATTAGAAACATTGGAGGTAAATTTCAGGCAAAAATTGGTATGATAAGAAACAAAGATGGCAGGGACCTAACAGAAGCTGAAGAGATCAAGAGAAGGTGGTGAGACTATACAGAAGATCTGTATAGGAAGGATAATAATATTGAGGATAGTTATGACGGTGTGGTGAATGAATTAGAACCAGACATCCTGAGGAGTGAAGTTGAATGGGCCTTAAGAAGCATTGCTAACAACA